CCATCACTCTCCATCCACAGCCAAGCCCTGCCATGGCACAGGACTCGACAACAACACAACATTTTATTACATCGGCTTTGAGCAATTGTTATGTTTTTATTTGATGTTACTGCGTCATTTTATGTAACTATAGCAACGTACAATTAAAACTGAAACACAGACACCATACCGAATTTTATCAAAATGATTATTATCATAATAATAATAATTATTATTATGTTTACTAAGAATATATATATATATTTTGGATTATAGCAATGATGAATGTGTTTTATTTTTTTATTCATGCCTGTTGGCATTGTGATGTGTCTCCTTGAGCATTCAACAGTCAGGCTCCTCTGACCTTGGTTATCGCACTGAGCGGCAGCTCCTGACTACCGCAAAGTTGACCAGAGCTGACATGACAGTGTTACTCTTCCACACAGCTCAGTGTCTGTGGAGTGGGCACGTTGAGGGCAGACACACAGGCACAACAGAAAAATAAACAGGAGCTCATAGGAGGTGGGGGGTTGGTGAACGCGCAGCGTCCCTGGCTCAGTCTGACCGCACGTTGCCTGAACAACGCCTCATTGTAGTTTTGTCATTTTTTTTTTTATTCTACTTCTAACTTTTTCAGCAAAATAACCTTGTGTTCCAAGCATATGGCTTGTTTCCTGAAATAGATGTGCAGTTTTAGAGCTGAGAGAACGCATCCATAAATGCCCCTACACTTGCACCCGTTCTCTTTGTGCACTTCATACGGCTATTTATGCCGGCGTTAAGTAACACTGATTTTGTGTGACAGTTGAGCATACAGGGGTTAGGCTCAAACTGGAGCACAAACACGAAGAAAAAAATAAAGATAGTCGGAAACAAAAAGCAAAAGGGAATAAAAAAAAAAGGCAAATATCTCCCACCCCCTTCCCACGAAGCCTTAATGAGAAGCCTCATCATGGGGAGAGATTCTGGAGAGGGAAGAACGGTTGTGGTTCTCCTGAAAGGTTTGTATTTGTAGAAATGAGGTGTCAGAAGAGGCAGGATTTCCTCAGGGCGCGGCACAACATGAGCCCATCTCTTATCATTTCCCACTCCCAGACGTGATCTGCTTTGAATGCACTAATGCTGAAGGAGCCCCACAGACTTGAAGTCAGTTCAAGATGAAATCAAAGCACACATCCCTGACAAACTGCCATCCACCACACAAGGATTAAACAGTCGGCGCGAATCAAATCCTCGCCAAAATGTGGAAATAATATATGCACTTAAATACATTCAACAGAACTTCAACCTCTGTTTTTTTGATCCCCCACATTTTGAACTATTTTGAGCTATTTGCCAACCTTAAAATATTCAAGAAAAGAAGAAAATTACTAAAGAGTCAAGATAGAAATTTGTCAGATATATTAATAATGTTCCATAAGAGATTAAAAGTGAACTAAAGACTGTCCCATTTCAAATCAACTACTGTTTATACATCAAATCAAGTTTCCAATGGAACATACAATGTTCAGCAGCCTTTTTCTGCTTAACCCTGTCACAACTCCCATTGTGTCTATATTCCCTTTTGACCATTTAGTAAAGCAATACAAACTTAAAAAATGGTCTTAAAAAGTTAGCCCCAAGTTGGAAGGCATGGCGCTCTACAATAAATTATTCTAACCTTATTCCAAGACGTAGTAACAACTCCCATAAAAGGACATATTACAAATAGGAATTCGATTTTGCATTTAATTACCCACTGTGTAGCTGATACTGTGCTGCCGTTACCTATTCGCTTGGCCACACGTGTCCTTGCATAAGGGAAAAGTTACACCATATTAATCAAACCTATTTTACACATTTGGTATTATAATTTTCCTGGTTTCAATTATGCATGAGGTCTCAATGGGGAGAAATGTGACCATTAGCATATCTGATAGGAGCAGTGGAGCAGTTTTCCACCTCTCTGTCTCCTTGGAACCAGGCAGAAAGACCTGACTGTTCGTCAATACCAGGTCATCTTATCTAGGCCGGCCCAGGTTATCCATACCATCCCAAAGCTCAGCTAATGACACTTGGAGACGTCCTGGACGCGACGGGGGGCCCAGAGGGCTCCAACACCAATGTGAATATAGTCTAGCACTGTCTGGTCATCTCTGAGAGCTCTTTGACAAAAAAAACTGCAATTAGAAACACCTCAGACGCACCAGCCTGAAAGGAGACACCGCTAAGGGTCGGAAGCGGACACAGCCGGGCGCTTCTTGGGTACATTTACATGTATGTATCTGTCTGTGTGAGAGAGAGCGAGAGAATGTCTTTGGGGATGGTGACCTTTTGACTCGTCTGTGGGTTCATTAGAAAAGGGATGCCGTCTTCGCCTTGGAGTAAAGGTTGATAAAACATGATTTGAAGGGCCTTGTTAATACGGAGATGGAAACAATGTGTTGTTTTTCCATTTTTAGTTCAAGGGCTGCTTGATTAGTCTGAATTGTTCTTTAAATGGCTGTATAATAATAAGCATTTAATGACCAAAGTATCAGAATGATATATTAAGATAGTGTTTGCTTCTCTTATATTCAGATAAACTTTAGATTCATATTGTATAAAACATTGGAAAATAAAGAAGAAGTTTACTAAGTGGAACCTCTTGAGTTCATCAATTATTGACAGTAAGATACTTTGATAGTTATTGTGATATGAATGTGGTCGATGGACTTGAGATTTAGATGTATAATATATAAAACATTTTTTTGGTTCAAATAGGCAGCTACTAAAATCAGGAATTTGTGAAAATCCCCAAACTTTTTAAGAAGCAATACAACAGAAAATTGAGTATTCATCCATCCTTTTCTCTGTGGGCCATTTAGTCTGCAAAGACTAGCATTTAAAAAAATACTTACCTTGTTATAGAAAGTTTAATGTCATATGCAATTGTTTGACCCTTATGAATATTAAAGGATCCCATCTCTGGCCTATTAAAAATTCATGTGGCATTGTAGTTGTTGATCACGTTTAGAACGCCGATGCAAATTGGACTGTCTTCCCTGTCAAGGCCTAAGATGAATAATGTAGTTGTGTTGTATATTCAGGGACACACCATTGACAGTCAATTAACAAGTTTGATTGGTGTGTGAACTCATTCTTTTGAACTGTTAATTTTATGTAAATAGTATTCGCTCTCCGTTCTCCACTGTCTCTCCCCCCCATCCAGGTTCACCACAGAAATATGTGCCCCCGCCACCACAAAACCCCCAAATCCCCAATTCCACCTCCCACTAAGAGTAACCAGAGTGGGATCCTTAATAATTGATCATCACACACCTGCTTGGTAGAAGCTATGGGAGCGTGCCTTTAACAGTCAAGGGGCCCCATGCTAGCCCCTTTTGATATTCAAATACACAAATGTTAGCCAACCTTCATGAATTCAAAGTGGAGTGAGCTCTTTTCACGGGGACGAGCTCGTTACGAGATTCCGGCCGTCCGTCCAACCCGATGGAGGCTTTCTTTGTCGGAGGGGATGTGATGGCATTGGATGGCTCATAAATGGAATGCCAATGCCAATTTGTTGTTGATGTGCGGGAATCTGGCTTCTACGTTAGGCCGACACAGTAATGCAGGCACTCCGGCAGATTGTGCTTGCAGGTAAATGATCCGGTGATTGATCCCACTGGTTGAAAGCAGCGAGGGGGCCTTATCTCATCCCTTTCTCCCCCCCCCCCCTCGCTCACTCGCGGCCGTCTTCCCTCCGTCTCCCAGTAATTTGGAGCAGCGCAGATGGAAACTGAAGATTCATCAAAGTTGACAAGTGAACCCAGGAGCTGGGGATCACGGCGAACCCTTCTGATTACCCAGATAGCCGTGATCATTTGTGCCCTCTAGCTAAACAGTTGTGCAGCTTTAGCCCGTCATGTCTTGTTCTGCTAGCATCCAATTAAATACACACATCTTCCATTCCTTTCTTCCATTGAACAAGTGGTGTCGTGGCCTACCGGTGCAGACCGGAGAGTAAAGAAAACAAGGCGCAGGTTTGAAGTGAATGGGAGAGGAGGTTCGGTTTGAGAGGGTGCTAAGTCTTCTCACAGTGGAACATGACCCCCCCCAGTTGTGTCTTTGCCAATGAGTGAAGGACCTTGTCTCGGGCCGTGTACCAATTGATTCTGCCCTTCTTGATCCTCCCCGGAGATCTGCATGTGCTCCAAGGCCCCTGCGTGGGCCAGCAATTATCAACAGATCGCCAACAGCTATTTGCATTGACCAGCAGCTAGTGTTAAGCCCCGACGCCTTCTAACCTCGTACACGGGTGAGCCACAGGGTCTCTAAAGGCCTGACCTCCTTAATGCCGCCCCCGTCCCTACTCATCTCTCTGCATTAAACAGATGGATTTTTTCCCCAGGTTTCATTAAACGAGAAGCTTAATTCTAACAGCGCTATTTCGACGATAATTGAGCTTATTATCACACCATAAATAACACTTATGCAATGGAGACACTTTTGGCAGGCTTCTAACAGAATACCTGCTTGTGAAACGAGAATGGTTGGTGATAAGATGCTGATAAATGCAGGAGGTGAAAGCTTCTCATTAATGCATTGCTACGCAAACAAAGACTTATAATTAATGTTAATTTGATTATAGCACCTCATTGATGAATGTTGTATTCGGTGCTGGGAAAATGACTCAAATGCTCATTAAATATATCTTGTGTAAATATCTTGCAAACACCACCCTACTAGTTCAGTCCAATGCTGTAATATAAGCATGGATACGTGGACAGATGTAAGTCTTTAGCTTGTGTTTTTGTGAATGTATGATAAAAAATAAAGCATGTATACTGTAAGAAAACTGCAGTCCTAACTTGTTTATATCTTCACTAGTGGCTTGGCGATTCGGACATACATTTTTCTCTCATCATTAATGGTAATAACTTTGCTGAAGTACAAAGTACACCCTCACCAAGCTGCTAGTTGGGCCTCTCGACGGTTAATACGTTCGCACAAAACCAACCCAACATTGCTCTGTTCTTCTTGTATGCTCCTTCCTTCAGGTCGATGAGACGGTTTTCTGCGCGGGCCAAATTGCGTTGGTCCCGTGTACAATGCAGCTGGTGGAGGCTGGCACCAGGACGCAGGCCCGTTTGGCCTTCAGCTATGTGCAGAAGGTTCTGGAGGCTGTGACCAGCAGCCTGACTCTCGCTCACGTTATCCAGGCCCACTGCTACATCACCAGGCGCCGAGACGTCCCCATCGTCAGGTCCATCTGGGAGGACATGCTGACGGCCGCCGAGGAAGACGAGGTCAGCCTCTGTGGAGTGAGATTTTTTTGTTTTTTGAAAAATATACAGCGGTCTGTTTTGTAATAGATACATACTTATGATAATATAAACACTTGTGATACGATACTGCTCCCAACATAAGGAAAAGTTCCTCGCCCGCCCGCCCGCCCCCCTTGGGACGCAAGCCGCTGCGACTGATGTATTTACCAGTGAGCGTGCTCATGAAAAGTTGATGATGTGGGGAACGCTGGTGTCTTTGATAATGCGGCGCTTGGCACAGAAGCAGATGTCTTCCTCAGAGCTTTCCTAATCCTTTGCCCCCCACACACCATTTTGGAGCTCCGTTCAACTCTCAGAGCAGCTTACCCCCCCCCGTCTGCCCCTCTTCCCCGCCGCCTCCCTCCATCCTTCCCTCCATTCCGCCGCCCCAGCTTACAACCCTTGCTCCACGCGTCTAATGGGGGAACCAGTCTCCCCTGGCAGCCCTTCTCCTCCCACTGTAATCTGTCTCGCAATGGGAAAAGGGCCTCGGGGGAGAGAACCAGGGTCCCACCTCCAACATGTGGCTCTGTTCAGTGGAGAGCGGCGTCAAAGATTAGAGAGAGCGTGTCAACTTTGTGTCAATTCCACAGAACTCCGGCAGTACATACGACATTCTAAATATGTTATTGAAGGCCAGCGCACATATTCTCAAAGCCTTTAAGTTAGAATTTTTGAATTCAAACACACATGCTACAGTTGAGCTTACCCCAGGGAGGAGCTCGTCTCTACTTGGGAAGTTGTTTGACTCATTGCGCCCTTTTTCAACTCCCGGGTGGAAAATGAATCCTGAAAGCGTCGCCAGCACACCGCCGATTTCGCATGCAGAGCGGCTCGTTCAGAGAACAAGGCCAACCAGGGGGCAAAGCTCTGGGACATCACGGGACTACAGGCCCGTGTCACAGGTCATTGAAAACGGACAACAGCGTCCATCTGTTGTGCGTCCATCTCTGTTAACTGACGCGGGATTGCTGCCAGAAGAACGTGTTTTATTTTCAAGCGGATTCCCGCGACGAGCAGCTCTAATTGGCAGCTCCATCTGTAAGCAGGTGAGTTCTCCCCTCGGGGATGGAGCCCGCTGAGGTGGTGTGGGTCACTGACCCCGAGCACACACTCTGTATTTGTCTGTGAGGCCGATCCTCTTGATGTGCCTCGCCCACTTGGTCCCTTCACATTCTCTCCCCTTCCACTTGAAAGCGGCCGTGGTGGGGCGCCTCTGTTTTATCCTAAACGGGAGGAAATGCTCTCTCTCTGGGGTGTGGATTATACAAAGCACCGGTGCTCATTCGAACTGACTGTAATTAGGATGTTTAACTCGGGTCAAACCCTGAGAACCCGGCTCCCACAGAAAACAGAGATAACTTCACTTTCTGCCATTGGCAAAAAAAAGGAGCCTCAAATAAATTACAAAAACGGAGTAACTACACATTAGAAATTAGATGAATTTTCACCTTTTCAAAACACAATCAACTAAGAGAAAAACAAAACGTACCGCTAAAACAAAATGTATAATGTAATATGCTAGAATGATTCGTAAATTAAAGCAGTGGGAAGGTTGTGTTTAACATTTGATCCTACACTCATTGACTAAATATGCAATTATATATCTCTTATTGAGTACAAAAATAAATCCTAATGCGTTTTGTGTTGAGTCGATGTGTTTTGCTTGGTTGAAACCAAGAGCACAACATCTATGAGGTAAAGTTATAGATTTAAAAACCAGTTGTTTAATGTTGGGTGACATAGACTTTCATAAAAAAAAAAGAAAAATGACATCAGAAGTTTGAAGTGAAATGAAAGACACCAGTATTTTGTGTGTCCGTGACACCACAGGGCCATGTTGTTTTTGTGCGTTGATAATTTCTCTAATCAGGTGGATGAAGAAGCTTGCCGGGTTAATTGGGAGCACACTGAAGTCGCTACAAGTGTGAAATTGTATTTACGGTGCATTAAACCACCAAGAGCCGGCTTGTCTGTGTGTGTGCAGTGGATTTGATGAGCAGGGAGATGTTGATGTGATAAGTCGACAGACATCCCTTTGTTTGTACACCAATGACATTATCATCTAGCACATTTAAATGTATTTTTTTATTTGAGTTATTAAGGTTATTTATTTTCACACACCATCAACATGAATAGTTGCTTTAGGAATGTGAAAAAGATTTTTAGAGAACTAATTGAAATGAAAGTGAGTTGAAATCGGTTACGCATTAATCAAACCGCACTTAATCTGCAGTGCAGTTTCCGTCCTTCAGGCCAAAGTAAAACCCGTTTTAAATGATTTCACCCCTTTTGTGGTTTTATAATGGCCTGAAACCCTTTAAACCTTTCCTCGCCCCACTGACACGGCCCCGTGTGTTTCACTTAACACAAACAGCCTGACGATCTTCAGGAAAGCGAGTGATCGAGGGAGTGAATGGGAGGGGATATTACAGCAGGCTGACAGCGCTACAGTAAGTGCCGAGCCATGAGCCACATGCTGAAGGCGTCCCGCTGGGCAGGAAATGTAGGGGAACTGGCTAAGCGGCGCAGTCCCATCAGCTCCCCGCTGTTCCCCGCCTTTACACCACTTCCTTATTACCCTGTTTACCGTTCGGCTTTCACGCCTCTCGGCCCTCCGACCCGACGCACGCTTCGGGCGTGCGGACGCGAGCCGGAGGGAGGAGGAGGAGGAGCGGGGAGTAAGAAAAAACAAACACAAGCAGAGGCAGGTCACACCCCATCAGTGCTGAGGGCTGAGCGCAGCGGATGGAGGCTTTATGCGTTTACCTGCTGCCCACGGAGGGGGGGGGGGGGCACTGCCCTGCAACCCATGTGGAATGAAGTAATGAGATGGATTGCGTAAGTGGCTGCCGCCAGAGCGGAACACCACCCCCTCTGCACGCACACATTGGCCACTGGGCCTTCCGGACCTGGCAACTCTTGCCGGCTGCGGTGTATCAAAAGTTTGCGTTTTTTATAGGATTCTTTTAATAAATGATCTCCAGTCAGGCGGGGATGCCAGCCATGTGTTCCCTTTTGTCGATCTTGTCTGACGGCACCCAGGTCTCACTGGGACGCGCACAACGTGCACGTATAAAAACACACAACCTGCACTGCTTCTTGGGCACATTTTAGTTCAAAAGAACTGCTGACCAAACCCGCCACTTAATGTGACATTGTGGCGGTTGAATTAATAAAGAAACGAAAAAGGGGACTGATTTAACCTCGCCCGACAGCTCGGACACAAAGTCAGCAACTGTGCCGTGACAGTGGAGTCCTGCCGGAGGCCGGTGCTGCAGTCCAGAAGTCCCCAGATCTCCTCGTTGGACGGTCGGTTGGATACAGTACCTCTGCACCCAAGGCCTGCAGGGTGGCCTTTAAGCCTGGCTGAGCAGGACCCCCCCACCCCCCCCCCCCCGCACACCCTCCCCCCCGTCCTGTCACTTTTCTCTCCACTTCCCACTTTCTAGTCCATGTTCAATCACTATTGACAAGCGCAGGAGCAGTTCCCTCTAGGAGAATACCTAGCCGCTGCCAGAAGTGCTAATATAACATTTATCAAAGCATAGGACACGTATACGCGCTGTCACTTTGTCTGACACGCTAAGAGGTCCGTGCCGATCCCGTGGTTGTTATTGTTGATCACGGCGAGCTGGGCTGGGTTCAGAAGCGGCAGAATGAAAAATCTTCACCCGCCTGCACTGCGCAAATACTCATTCAGGACACTTGCTTTTTTTAATGTTTTTTCACTCTCCAAGGCGAGAGGTTAGCTGTTGATACACAATTAAGCGTTTGCTAAAGTTTAATCTGGAGGTAAGTGCTCCCTCTGTGAATATGGCTGATTGGGTCATGACAGGTTTGTCTGTTGAAGGGACAAAGAGGCCCTTGATTTCTTTTTTTTTTGTGTGTGTGAGTGAATATCAAAATAAAATGTAAGTAACCTGTTATTATTCTGCACTTACAAAGTGGGGTGTAAGTGGGTGAAAATTGATCCAGCAAATTGAAAAGCGGGTTAAGTGTTTTTGCCCTATCGACTCTGAAATGGTGGTTATATAAAACACTCATTTCTCTCCCATTAGCAGATGAAGCCACAGCCAAGTAATATTAGAGGGCCACGTTGTAGCACTGCTCCAAGACATTTTGTTACTGCTAATGGCTCTCAGTCCCGAGGAGAGCAAAATAAAGAGATTTGCGCTCTATAGATGAAATTGAGGCCATTTTCTACTAAATGTGTGGTGAAACTGCCATAACATGTTGTGAGTGATCTTCTCAGAAAGGTTAGGAGTCACGTTAAGACAGGACCTGTCACGGCAACAATGTGAATGCGTTTGTACGTTTTGTTTAGGGTCGGCTGCAACCGGCGTGGCTTCTTACCGAATAGTTTGTGCACACTATCATTACCTCACAACCTCATGTTAATTGATAGCCTGCCACTCTATCACACAGAGGTCCTGTCCTGTTTGCTGCAGTGGGATTGAATTTGTATGACGTGCCTTGTAAAAATGTTTGATGCCGACGGAGGAGTGTTGGCGGTCAGAACACATTTGATTGCACGTTTTAGCACAACGCCGCACGTCATTTGCAAGCCGCTTCCTTTCAATCCGGTCGTGTTTGCTTCGCAGGGCCTGCTGCGGGAGCGCCGGATCAGACCTGCGCCACTGTTGGCCATCGTGGTACCTGCGCTGCCCAGGGGAGCGGTCGTTGAGCTTCATGTAACTGCAGTGCAGGACGATCCCACCGAAAGGACTTCCTGTCACGTGACCACGACGGTGGCCCGCCTATCGATCGAGTGCCACACTGTGACGTCGGCCGACGGCAGCGGCGCGTCGCTCTCCCTCTCCCTCTCCCCGCCGGTGCCCGGCGGCGACCCCGAGGTCACGGATGCAAAGGAGGTGGCCGAGGCAGTCGCCGCTGCGTTCAAGGACGCCAAGGAAACGGCGGACGCCAGGCTGGTGCCGATGAGTGCCAGGGTGTTCTACAAGTGCCACTCGCTGGCACGGCGGATCGTTGAAGGTATTTCTTGTTGTCTCCCTCTCCAGGCACCACGTGTACGCTTTGAATTGATCTAATATTCATCCCGATGAAGAGGACTTGTGCCAAATAAGCCGTTCGGTTGAGGCCACCAAATGTTGCAAGCCACCAAACAAAGCGACCGCCTCTCTTCTTTCAGAGAAAGTTTGTGCTGAAATTGTTTATGTTGGAGAGCGAACGCTTTCTCCATAAGATATTCGAGGAAGCAGTCCCTCCAGAGGATCTCCACTAAACGTCCTGTTTAATTATTGTAATCCATTTGTTGTGTCTGCACAGCGTACAGTAACCCGAGCAGCGGGCGCTGTCTTTTGTCATCATTACGCTTTTATACGGCGCTTTCTCCTGCTCCCAGGATTGTAGGTTTTCTTGGGGGGGGGGGGGGGGCGAATGCGGAGCAGTATTTGCTTTTATACTAAGAAATATCTCTCGGCGGGAAAAGGGCGAGGAGCACATCGATCACACTGCCTCAGTTGCCGAGTCATCGCTGAGGCAGTCAATCAGCATTTTTCAATCCGTGCCGAAGCAGCCATCTGTCTGTTGTTTTTAGCTTCGACATAACTCGTCATCGGGAGGATGTGAATTATGGTAACTAGTGTTTAATGGACAAAAGGTCGGGAGTTTTGAATATGCATTGATATGCATGATAGACAAACTGTGATATTTTTTTATACCCAATTATATCATTGTTATTGACATTGTTTCATGTTTCCCTCATTATCTACAGGAGGAATCTTGTTCAAATATTTTAAATATACATTTTAGACAGAAAAGATATTGATTGATATTCATATTGCAAATAAATGCGAATTATTTAGAACAATTTAATTCAAAATTAAATATCAAAGTTTCTCTTAAAGTAATTGGGTTATTTAAAAAAAAAAACTGTGTTACTCGGTCATTGGTTTATTGGAGCAATATCAACCTCAATTGTCGCCCTTGAAATGTGCCTTTCTTTGATTATTGACTGCACAGACTGCTCCCCTAAAACCATTTACTGACTCATCATTGAGCTGGAATCTATTACCTTACCCGGCACGGACAGCCGAGCCCCGGAAGCTCCCCCGCGGGCGTCTTTATGGGTCACAGCTTATGCTCATCGGGTGATGAATCCAAAAAGTCAAAGGAGGAAAAGTAACACCTCTGGCGCTGGCAGTCACAGCCTCAGAACTGCCGCTGTCAGCGGGCAGACAGACAACAACATCGGAGCAAAATGTGACTGCACCCCCCCAGAACCCCCCGACCCTCCACCCTTGGGTTAGTTGCGTTGGGATTCACAGCTGATAGACGTGACATATGCTCCAAATGAAACCTTTAAACATCTTGTCTCAACTTGTTACTTACGATCGAAGGGTTTTTCTCGAGGAAAGACGCCCGCAACTCAACAGAAACTTCTAGAGAATTAAAGAAATCCATTATTTTACACAAAATCAAACACGCTTAGATGTAATTGCTTCTGAATAAAAAAAAATCCCCCATGGTTAAAACAGCATAACAGCTTTGAGCCAGTGGGCGGTAGCGTAAAACCAACTGAGAAAACGGTATTGACCTGTTTTCACCTTTTTTAAATCAGTGAACTATCACACCTCCAGCAGCATTTGTTGGAAGTTGTGTTTGTGTACACAAGATCAATGCCGGTTCAATACTCGCTCTCCTTGTTAGCTCTGCTTTGGTCTCCACCGACTCCTGGGGAAGCGATCTGGCTCTTATTTGGCCAAGTGCTCCACAATGTTCACTTCTTCAACAGCTCAGGGGGAACCAAAGCCGTGGCAGGCCGGGATGTTCTACACACCTCTGCTGAGCTCAGAGGAACTACAGAGTTGGGGGATTTTTCTTTGGGGGCTCATCACTTCTAGCAACCCCTCTCACTTACAAGACGGCCTGTGATCTGTTGTTGATATAATATTATTGACTCTGGCTGCACCGACGTTTTCCCTTTCTCCATCTCTCTACCACACACACACACACACACACACACACACAGCCACTCGTCCTCTTTGTTCCTTCTCCTCAGACTAAATGAACAATTTTCATGAGCCAACACTTGCTAATTACCTCCTCGTTTACCGGTTAATTTGACCAGTTTGGAAGGCAGTGTAGCACAACTAAAAACCGCTGGCTCTGGGCCTTGGCCACAGCTTAAAAGCCCCATAAGCCCAGCAGGCATCAAGCCCTCCACTCAGGAACCTCCTTTTAAACCCCTCCTTCTTTTCACTTACCCCGACAATATTTATATATTAGTTCGAAGGAGAAAATGGCTTTTGGTGTTTAGCATAAAGGAGTGTTATGGGTTTTGGTAATGGTTGGGTTGAGAAAACACAGAGATTTAACTGCAACCTTTCCGACTCCCCGCGTGTTCGCCGTGAAGCAGAATAATGACTCGTCCTCTTGGGGAGGTGGTTTAGTTCCATCCCATTGCTAATGCGATGGCTTTTTGAATCCTCGCCGCCTCTGTCTATCGGGCCTCTCAACGAGGCACCCTGGGTAGCCCGAAGGGAGGGCGGGGGCTGAAAGACCGGGAGGGTGGGAGGGTGTGGGGGGGGAGGATTGGTTGTATGGCGGTCTGTGTCTTTTTACTCGCTTTTTGGCTTGCAAAAGACAAAAGAGCACAAAATTGCCTGGTCACCCAAGTCACCTTCACCCGCCTCCTCGTGTCCGTCTTTCATGCATAGGCAGGCGTGTCTGTGTGCACAGACACTGAAAGACACCCTCAAAGGGAGTGCGCAATTATTTCTGTTTGGTACAAAGATTAAAACATCCAGACATAAAACAGGCTTAGTGCGCAAGGTGTGATGAAGGGTGTGTTTCTTCTCTTAATAAAACCATCCTGTCTGTGATCTCTCAGTTGTCAGCCGGCCATCTCCCGAGGATCCCGCTTCCCGGGGAGAACCACATGCTCTGATAACACATATTTAGGCTTTTAATGCCCTCCAAAAAAAGGCCTCTGTTCAGTGGGGGTATTTTAAGCTGTGGCACATATTAGCTAATTAGGGTGTGTGGGCTCTTTGTGAGGACGTTTGGCACGCTGCGAGGCCTTTTTAAATAGTGCTGAACTGCTTCCGCGACCTCTCCGTCCCGACGTCCCGCTCTGCGAGTTCACATAAATGTCAGCAGTTGACATTGAAAGAGCATTGGTGTGTTTTTGTTCACTGAAACTTGCGTCCTATCAGGCGCACGTGGTCGGGGGACAAAAAGTCTAGCATACTTTCCCTATGGCGACCATGCCAGATCCCAGTGGCCACGCCCAAGTGTCCATCCAGCGTAGTGTGGAATCAGCCGGGACGGTCGCCCAGGAGACGGGACCACTTGTGGCCAATTAGTGCGCGCAGCAGCGGAGGGAGCGCCCAGCGTCCCAGCACGCTGCTGCTAAATAGACATGCTGTCATCCGGACCAGGCTGTGAGACGCCCGACGAATGCTTGCGTGTCCACTGCCCGCCTGTACTCCGGCCACACACACACACACACACACACACACACATTCTCCTGGCCCAACACCGCTTCCTAACTTCCCAACATAACAGGGGCAGAGGATGCAATGCACTAGACACCCCCCCCCCCCCCCCCCCCACCCACACCTCCAACAAGCTGCTGAATTGTCCAAAAGGCCATGCCCCCCACCCCCCCCCCCCACCCCCACCCTCTTCTTGGCCCTGTGTGTGTTAGTTTGAGGGGTAGCTTAGAGTTCAGTCCTTGCTGACCATATGTCTGCGTTGCAGGGGGTCAGATTGGAGGGGGCAGAGGGGGGGTTTAAGAATGCAAATCATTTGTAAATAGGCTTGTGATCCCAGGTCAAAGGGTTAAGTGCATCCGCTTTCCTGGGAAAGGCCCAGTGGGGCAGCTGTGTGAGAACCTAATGTCCAACTCCAACCTAACTTTCAACGGAACTAACGCCTCTCTCTCTCTCTCTCTCTCTCTCTTTTTCTTGTTTTTTCCTCACCCCCCTCATCTCCCCGTCCATCTCTACCTTGCCAGGACTTGAGAGCAGTTTGAGAAGCTCTCTAGGGACGTCAAGTCCGTCCGTTGCTCTGGTTCCAGTCCTGGACTTGCCTGATTCCCAGATCCTCCACCTGTCCTGCTGGCTCAGTGCGTAGGAGCACAGGCCAACAAGTCAACAACCAGACTCCAGTCCTCCACATCTCTGGAATTCATTCGGGGCTTTTCTGCAGGAGTGACTCTGACAGCCCGACACCGAATGACTTACAACGGGGCATCGCTGAATGTGGGAAATAGCAAACTGCTCATTAACGTTAACTGTTAGTCACTGCTGACGGGTGAAATGCAAAGCCGTGTCCGTCTGCGGGTGCTTTTCAGTGTTCCACTTCAAATCCCAGCATGCAGGCTTATAATTCACCTCGTGCTCCACTGGGGTGAAATACTACTGCAGCAGCTGTTGTTCAGCCTCGGAGAAACTTCTACCGCCTAAAAGCAGAGGACGGGAGAGCGCAGTCGACCAACGGAGACGCCGGCAGCGTCTCATTCCGCGCGGCGGATAAACTCTATCCCCTGAAATCCCACTGTTCCTGCTGCGATTCCTCTCGCCGCGTGGGCCAACACCCCCCTCGTAAAGGCCCAGCGCCACCGCCGCCGCCATCTGTTGGGTTGTAAACCTATAGATTTACCGTGCGCCTGCTTGTGGCCGTGTGTAATGTGCGCGGACGAGGTGACTGTGTTTCTCGCCCTCATGCTCCGTGGGATTCAAGGTGTGTTATTATTGTGTAATAGGCAATCAGCACCGAGCACCTGAAAAGATTAAGCCTCTTTATGTTTTCTATTGATTCTCAGGCAACCTGGTTAATAGGAGAAGGGACACTACAACACACAGCTGCAGGGCGTGTGTGCGTGTGTGTGTGTGTGTGTGCGCTGAGGCTGTCAATGGATATCGTGACGATGTGGGGAGAAAATAACACTATTAACCATTGCTCCTGGAACATTTCTTTCCTCAAAGATCATGAACCGTATTGATGATGGAGTTGGAATGCTTCTTCGCTCTGGCTATTCTCTTCATTGTGCGCGTGATGGCGGTGAGAGTGGTGTGAGCTATTGATCTTCTTCCACCGCAATGTTGTTTTGATTGTTATCAAAAATTCAACAATAGTGGTAGCCAATAGAGCCTGAAGATTTTTATTGAGGGTTGAAAAAACACAAACAAGCAATTATTTATGAGAAAGAGCAAGACTATGCCCCATAAATATACAGTGTGTGTTAATATTCACCCGTTTGGTTGTAAAGGCCGTCACCAGAGGGACATTCGGTAAACACCGGTACATTTAATTTGATTTATTTCTTTGTTTTCAAAAGATGTAGCTGTTTAACAGACACATATTTGTCAATGACACAAGATTGCCGAAAAAGACATCCCACTGAAAAGATTTTCATTCAATTGTCTTGTTTCAATTTGTAAATGTGTAACAGTCTTAATGCCGAGCACCATATTGCCAAGGAAAGTAGTGAAGAAGAGCAAACTTGCATGTTCAGCAGTCTTAGTAAAAACCTATAGAGAAAATGGAACAAAAGAAACAACACACACCAGCCCAGTGTATTTCAATTATACATGTCCACTGCATTTAATTATATTAATTAAATTCCACATCTGCAAGACATTTCTTTACTTTTGTTTTGAATGCCTTTGTTTTTATTATCTTTAGTGGGGCAATGGTTAAAGGCAAGGGCTTTGTAACAAAGCAATACAAGACCCAACATTTCTGTAAACACAGAAGAGCTCCGCTGCTAAAATTCTGTAAAAGACAAACATTTGTTGATCACTATAAACATTACATTCGATCTTTCAGTGTGCATGTTTTCATGCAGACAAAGTCACAAATATCATCCCGCCCTCATCACAGCCCATGCGATCGCCTGTGGCAGGCACATTTCTTTGTCCTGTTACCTCTGTATTTCTGCACAAAATGAATAAAGACAGGGTGACATTTAGTTTTCTACTGTGTTTTGTCAAATGTACATTTTCCGCCGAGCTGACCGGCAAAGGGTCTGCAAACGCACTGGTTGTTGTGCCTAACATGGTCCTTTGTGCACGGTGTACCAGCCTGCGGCACTTGTCATTGTGGCCTTGCACATGGACTTTTACTGTGTGTTGATTCCTCCAGGCTAACCAGGCTGATGTGTGTGACTTTTTTTCTCCCCCCCCCCCCCCCCCCCCCCCCCCCCCCCATAGCAGTGGCGGGAGCTCCGCTTAGAAGTGGCCGCATTGCACGAGACGCCTCCTGAAATCGCGGTCTGTTTGCCTCAGTGACTGTGGTTTTGTTTGTTTGCATATTTGTATCATTTTTTTGTTACACAATGTATTGTCTTCTTCCCCTGACATATTGTGAAAGCATGTCTCCATGGTCACAGCACTGACTAAATGAAACTTGTGCTAACTGCTGAACTGGCAAGCCTGCGCATGCTATTGGGTGGTGTATGCTGCCCTCTTGTGGTCAACATAAACTGCCATTCAAAAGCTACATTGTTTCATTTGTGTAATAGTGCTTCCACTATACAGAACGCCACAAATGTAAAAATAAAGTAATATCTTACATGTGTGTCTTTTATTTAATACCTCACGTGCATGGTCAATGTTCGGTGTCAAGATACTAAACTGTTGTATTCTTTTCTAAGAATACAACATTCAACACTCAAACACAATTTAATATTTAGCTGCCCAAATTTTCTTGACAAACCACTTAATCTATAATCAACTGTGGCAATGATCTGTTTTTATCGTTTAACTAATTAATTTTACATTAGAAACATTGCTGATTATAGTCTGTTGGCTGCTGACAAACCGCCCAGCATCCCCGCCCTGAGGAGAGGCTATTAGTCAGAAGGCCGAGATGTTCATACAATGTACTGATCACACCATAGCGTGAACTCTGAATGCTGGATAATTTAAGTGATGACAGTAAAACGTTAGACATGGTCGTGATAAGGCACCTATCACAAGAAATCTTAAAGTTTAAAGTACTCCCAACGGGGCTGTATGAGTAGTAGTGCAGTGGTGTGGATTAAGGTTTGATATACGTAAGTGAAACTTTTTATTGAAAAATATTTTGGGTATAACACAGCAGGCTGAACTGTTTTTTTTTATATTTAAACAAGTGACAGGACTTATTGCAGGGATTTGTTGTCATACGGGAAGGTTTTTGTACTAAAATTGCGTGGTTTTAGGATTTCGCATAGCCTCTGTATTGTCAATAAAATAAAATAAAATGAATCACAAAGATATGTTCCGTGGTCATGCGGATGGACCAAGTAACCGGAAACCTTTGTTTTCTGCCGTGCATTTTAAGGGACGGACACGCTCACTGCCAGACTAACATCCGGTGACGTCATCGATATGTTATTAGCAGCAAAGCTAAGAAGCGAAAGGCACCGCCAACTTCGGATGAATTCGTGAATTTAAATAGGATTTTGAGACAGTAACAGGCGTCCTTAGTGAGTACGTTGCACTCAATTATAAGGTTTGCTCAACACGAATGAATGTTATCCACCTACTGTTTCATTTTATTGGTGTAATTTCGTGTAACCTATTGCCATTTAATCGAGTGGAATTATTGCATGCTTACTTGCCTTTTTTTTTCTAGGTCTAGGAGCCGCAGGATTACCGCTTTGGGAGAAGAGTAATTCACGAATGTGTGGATTTAAAAATGCATTTGTGTCCTGTTTGTGCGAAATCGTTCCCATCCCCATATAAACTTAGGAGGCATTATGTCATCCACACTGGCCAGAAGCCCTTCATCTGTACAACCTGTGGAAAATGTTTCACACAGTCTGATCATTTAAAAACCCACTTGCAGAACGTCCACCACCCGAGGCTTCCAACAGACTGTTTACAGGATGCCATTGCAGCTCATAACCAACAAGCAAATGGTAATAGCCCAGCTGCAAGGATCAACATAGACAGCATGTGTAGGAACAATGTAAGGCCTTCAACTGTCTCATCTTCTGTGGCCTCGCAGCCGGAGTGGAAAAGGGAAAGCGTGGCCCCCAAAACTGGAAATCCACTGAAAAAAATTCCACGTGTAAATGACACCACGGTGACTTGGAGCTGTATCTCAAATGTTATGGATCCAATGACTACGGAGCAAGTTGATTCTGCAAGTGAAGACACGTCTGTGTACCTCGGCCAAAACGGATGCACCAGCAAGGTCCGCTCCAAGTCGTATATTTCATCTCCTCGTCCAACAAAAGAATTAGAGTGGAGCGGAAAGTCAGGCCCGACTTTTTCCAAACAAGCCCATTCCAAAGAGCACCTGCAGGAAAAAGAATTGAGTTCCAGCGGAGGCAAAATGACTTTAAAACACCGGTGTACCATCTGTCTCAAAACCTTCTGCTCGCCATCCAAATTACAACGGCACTCCCTTATTCACACGGGGCAGAAACCCCACTCGTGTACGGTCTGCCGGAAAGCCTTCAGGCAGAAGGTACACTTAAAATCCCACCTCAGTTCGGAAAATAGATGCTCACTTTCTGTCGCTGCTGAAAGGAAGAAGCACATTTTTTTTAGTAGCAGACAAACCTCAGGTCTGCTGCTTCAGCCATCAATTCAGCAACGTCCCTCCGGCCATCAAACTCCTGCAAGTTCCTCAGTGGAGCTGGAACTACAGTGTAAAATAAGTGTAAATGCTGTGCAGGACGTGGACGAGGCTGAAGCCAAGTCGGAAGCAGCCGTAAAGCCAGAGCAGTCAGTCAATGATGGCGGTCAGTGTCGGAGTATGTTTGACGGGTCAGATGAACAAGAGCAGGAATACATTCCACAGGAATCCTTGAAACCATTTCAGTGCATGATTTGCAACAGCTCCTTGCGGTTGGATGGTGACTTAATATGTCATCATAAAATAAATAGGAACCAAGACGAATTGGGAACTCTCACCACAGCGCAAAATCGCAGCAACGTGGAAATGCCTGATTCTGAAGCAATCCGACACTCGCCTCAACCCGATCTTGCGGATCCCCTCGATTTGAACGTCATTGTAAAACCAGAGTCATGGAGCGTCGATTGCACTGATCACAAAGACTCTCTTCCTCCGGATTGCGAGGTAATCCCGTCAGCGCAACAGCCGGGGAAACCTCGCAACGACGCCAGCGAGCGGCACAAAATCCACCGGTGTCAGATGTGTTTAAAACGTTTCCCATCGACGTCAAAGCTGCAAAGGCACATGTTGACTCACACCGGACAGAGGCCCTTCGGCTGTGAGGTGTGTGGCAAGAGATTCCGGCAGAAAACGCACTTGAGGGTCCATTTTCGCACGCACCTGTGGTCCAGATACCACAAGCAACGCTCGTTGTATATTAACCGGCCACCTTCCCGCGTAGGTGGCTTAAACAGGACCGCAGCAGACGTGCCGGTCCTGGAAATGTTGCTTCATGAGAATTTAGAGACCCACAGTGGCCACGATGTAGTCTCCCTGAAACCTCCGACTCCGTCCGTGGGGGGTTTCCAGCGTGACAACGCGAAATGGCATAAGTTGTCGCCGCGTGTCTCAAAGAACAGCGAGGTCGTGCGTAAGGTTTCCACGGTGCGTGTGGAAAGGACACCGATGGCTGGTCCAATGCCAAATCCGGGCAACGTGCAACACAAGTGCCTCCAGTGTTTAAAGTGTTTTCCGAGCGCTTCTAAATTAGAAAGGCACGAGATGGTGCACACGGGCTTGAGGCCGTTCCACTGTGTTTTCTGTGGGAAAGCATTCAGGCAAGCCGCGCACCTCAAAACCCACCAAAAAACTCACTGTGAGAGGAAACCATCCAAGCCGGTCAATCAACAGGAGAACATTAGAAAACTGAAAAGAAATAGTCAACGGCAGCCACGGATCAGTGCTCGGATCCCCGGACAGAATATACCTCTGAACAGAGACGGTCCACTCTCCTATTGTGATGGCACGGAAGGTGCTGAAGGCAGCGCATCGCTGTGCACCAGGCGCACGCTGCCTGTCACTAAAGTGAGCAGTCCGCTTAAGACAAACTCTAAAAGGAAAGTTCACTCGTGCCGAATATGCTTTAGGAGCTTTGCGTTTCCCTACAAGCTGTCCAGGCACTTGGCCACTCACTCTGGGACGCGGCCGTACAAATGCACGTTGTGCAGCAACACTTTCACACAGCTCGGACATCTGAAGGTTCATGAGCAAAGATGCGGACAGGGTGACAGGGTCTCACATTGCATTGAAGGAGAGGTGGTGACTACCAACCATCTCCAGGACGAATGCCTCGATGACCTCACTGATTGCGCAGATTTTAATGCGGACGCAACAAGTGTTGGTCCCTCATTTGCTGATATAGGTTCAACGTATTTCTCAGAGGCAGAACACACTGAGTGGTTGGCAGTTCCAGAAGGCTTACAAAAGGAGAAGAATGAATTGGAGAAAAAGATGAGGGACGACTGTGGTCAGGCTACATGCAGCTATGATCAGGATGAGGACCATTATAATTATTCATTTCCCTCTGAACTCTCTGTTGAAATAGACAAGCTGGTCCAGAATCATAACAGGGCAGCTCCACTTTTCTCGCAGTATAAGAGCAATGCGTATAATGTCAAAGTAACATGTCCGCCCAAAGGGATTATGGCTGTTTCAGATGGCAACAAGCTGCTTAAGGATCAATGTGTTACTTCTTCGGTTGAGAATCAAATGCAGCCAGAGAATTCTTGGTGTGAACCTCTGAATGGGTTTGAAAATGACACGCGCTCTGCAAGTCACGAGAGTGAAGACGATCTTGAGCAGTATTTAACTAACGTTCATCGTAAAACAAAAGAGTCAGTTAGGGAGAATCGCTGTGACATCTGCTTCAAACTGTTTGTGTCTCCGTCTAAACTTCGAAGGCATTTTCTCATCCACACGGGTTTGAGGCCGTTTCGGTGTGACATTTGTGGCAAAACATTCACACAGTCAGCACATGTCAGAACACATCAACTGACCCATTGATATCGATCAGACTTGACGTGTAAAGTGTGTATTTTACTACTACACACCGACAAATGACTATAATGATAGTCATTTGTCAGTAACATGGTGTTTGAGTTGACTGCATATATGTAAAATATGTAGTGGATGTCTAAAAATACAGACTTTATATATTTTTGTATTTCAATTAAACTTGTTTCATATTGTACCTTGTTGACTTTATTTCTTCTTTGTCAAATTTATTGTTAAATATTTTATTATAGTCTCTTTGTACTTTGTACATCTTCTAAGTATTTTTCTAAAAGAGGAACGACAACGTACACATTAGGAACGAAAGAGTTGCTTTTGTACTTGGGGACGATTCGAGCGACGCACAGCTTCAGGAAGTCCGTCGCATTCAGCGCGTTTTGGTTGTGTACATGCGTAACCCGTTGTCCGACGGCCTACTTTCATGCTGAAATAAACAAAGGTTTGTGAGTGGATTTTGTTATGATCATATATTTGCGTTCGCAATGTGGCCTTAATTAATAGTATAATAAATGTTTTCCCTGAGTCTTCCTCTATGTTGTACTTAACGTTAGCTTAGCTTAGCTCATCTAATATTTGTGACACATCTTAGATTAACGTTACCCAGTGTTTGTATTTTACTAGGCATCCTATATAAATTATCCTTATTAGAAACGTTAGGCATTGATTTGGTGTTTGTATTAAAGTAGCGAACGAACAGTAAGACGTTTGGCATTACAATTAATAAAAAATGCACTCACATTTGAGCTATTGCATTAACTTAACGTTACTGAAGTTTTGAACCGCGCTATTCACCACTGTCCGTGTGTGTTAACAGTTAACTACGGCCTCATGTTTAAGTTCTCTACAAATAGTTCACAGCCTGTTGTTTCCAACCCTCGTTGCTGCAGCTTGAGTGAGCCACTATGGAGAAAGAAACCCCCGCTAAAAAGGCTGCAGCGCCTTCTGTGTCTCAGATCAACGCAGAATACGTCACACAGGTAATTATTACAGTTAAGGTCCAGCACTGTGCTGAAATACGTTATTCCATTGTGTGTGTCTGTGTTTTAAAGAGGAAAAAATACCTTTTTAATATTTATATATATCAAGGGCACGCATTGACTTATGATGGATCTACAATGTCTCTTTGAATTGTTCCAGAATGAGGCTTACATAGAATAACTGTCCATATAAGATAATATATTTGAGGTGGTTTAAAGGGCAAATGGGAAAAGTCATCTGTGACAGGATTTGTGCTGTGGATCACATCATGTTCAGTCATGATCACATTGATGATATTGTTTCTGTTTTCAGTTGGCGAATAAATATTGGGCTCCACATGCAACGAATAAACTAGCGTTTGACCCCAAGGTGAGTTAAATGCATTCCTGCATTTTAGAGATTCCGATATAATTCATTTAGTTTTAACGGATTTTACAAATAAATTTGCTAACACATGTTTCATGTGCTGTATTTCTCATAGTGCTAATTATTGGCGGTTTTTGTTTGATACAATAAAATGAAGAGGTGTGACAGGTTGGTGTTAGCAGCCAAGTTGATGGAGCCTTTATTTTGACATTTTCTGCTTTTGTTTTAGGTGATGGAAGATGTCTATGAGAAAGAGATTCTCAATTCCAAGTAAGTAATTAAATAGCGTATTTTCCATAAACTGCTGTGTGTAATCTAGTGGTTCTCAAGCTTTTTCTGTCACGATCCAACAAAATTATACGTGGTACATTTTAATGTAAATGACAATTTGTGACTCCTCCATCTCTGCTTTTTGGCACTTTCAAGTCAACCAGATCCCTCCATCAGACAAAAACAAATAACATCTTGTTAGAACAATGCCAATAAAGTTCTCTCTGTGAAAAACATAACAAACGTTTGGCAGAAAATAACTAATTGTGGCTGCAATTAATAACCTGTTTTGGACTGAAGATATTTTCAAGATAATAACAAACTGCCACTTGTGAAAAAACAAAATAAGTTAATATAGTTGGCAGTAGAGTTTTAAAATGCATATCTTTTCAAAATAACAATGTGCAACCTATGCAAAACAAAACTCGTATCTCAATGTGCCTGCTTTCCACTACATATCTTTTCCAAACAGGGTTGCAGACTTAATACATCCTCTCAATTTATGCTCAATGTTGAACATGGATTTGTGTTTTAGTTTTGAGAGAGGAAACAGCAGTCCGTGTACTTTACACTGTTGTAACTCCTCAATAGAGTTCTTGAAATAAAATAAGAATTTCCCTGTGCGACCCACCTGTAATACCACTGCAGCCCACTAGAGGGTTGCAGCCCACAGTTTGAGAGACACGCTGTAATCCAATACACAATTGTGACACTTTTTCTTTGCTTTACATTTTAAGATTTGCCATCAGAAAAATTATGCTGCTTGAGTTCAGGTGGGATACCTCTCTTCCTTTTTTTTACGCATACGTTAAATAAGAAAACAGCCTGTGTATACATATATGTAAATGTTTGTCTTCACCTTTCAGCCAGTATCTTGAGAACTATCTGTGGGTGAACTACACTCCCAAGGTGTCCAGCAACGCCTACCTCATGTCCATTTGCTGCATCGTCAACGAGAAATTCCGAGAGAACGTCCCAGCTTGGGAGGTGAGAAAGGCAGTGCCTCGTAGGAGCACAACCACCGAACACATTTATAAGACCGCACCTTCACCATCTTTACTGTGGCCATTCAAGTTTTCTACAATAAGAGTTTTCTCTTTTGAAATGTGGTTTCAGGTGTTCAAGAGGGAACCCAGTCATTTCCCGTTCTTCTTTAAATGTATGATGGAAGCTGTACTGGCAGGGGAGGAATCTGGCCTCACTCTGAAGGAGCAAACTGTGCTGCTGGTCTTCTTGGATCACTGTTTCAACAGTCTGGTATGTGCCACTGTGCTGAGAAGTACATCTTTCTCACCGAAGGAGTATTTATAGTTTAATGAATTTGTTTGTTATCACATCAATACTAATAATACTGTGTGTACATTTCTAATTACATAATTCCTTTTGTTTTTTTATATTGAAATTTCCCTTCATTATATTATTAATCCAGTTTTCTAGACAAGGCAAAGAGTGTTGTGTACGTCTGGATGAACTTTACAAGTACAATTGACCATCAGAAGACTCTCTCGCTTCTGATCACTTATTTTACCGTGGACAACATCTGGTTCCAAACGACGTGTCAGATACCGACAGTTTGTCGAATACGCCAAAATAATGAAGAGAACTGTTCTCTGTTGAATTGGATTAACCCGGCTTTTGGTTTCAAAGAGGTTACGGTGACTCAAGTGTGTTTGATTCAATAGGAAGCGTTACTAAACATCCAGTAGGGGGCAGTAGCAGACTAGACAGCACGTCTTTGGCCAGCTCCCACCCCTCTGTAGCCCCGGCAGCCGCATTAAACCACAGGGAAGCACTGCAGATGTCTCACTTTACAATCTGCTGTGAGAGCCTCCTGCACTCTGATTGAATCCTATAAAGCCCTCTAAATATTTCAGTTGCAGACTTTTATCACGGCGGAAGTGTAATAACAATCTGTCATACATACGCAGTGCATTTTGACAACTCTCTCTCTTTCTGTGTGTGTGTGTGTGTGTGTGTGTGTGTGTGTGTGTGTGTGTGTGTGTGTGTGTGTGTGTGTGTGTGTGTGTGTGTGTGTGTGTGTGTGTGTGTGTGTGTGTGTGTGTGTGTCCCCTCCTCCCAGGAAGTAGATTTGATCAGAGAGCAGGTGCAGCAGCTCATCTCTTTGCCCATGTGGATGTGCCTCCTTCCAGTAAGCTGATATCCTCATTACTGTTTTACTTGCTCGTTATTGGCACTCCTGAATTATGTTGTTTGATATTTTCATTGACTCATTTGTTTACGTCACATTGCAGTCCAGACTCCAACAAGAGCTTAAGAAAGTTCCAAAGCTGCAGAAGTTCTGGAATCTAATCAAGAAGAAATGCGAGAAGATGGATACCGACGCAGCCGAGCAGTAATATTGTTTTCTTTGCTTGGATGTCCAGCTCTACGCCTCCTACACAGCAACCCCTGTTTTTGTCCCTCACTTTTTCCGTCTTTCTAATTTGCCTCATGTGTGTCTTCCTCAGGGCAAATAAGGAGAGGGTCTTCCTCTCGGCTCTCATTAAAAAGTTTCTTGGCGTTCTCGTGTCAATTCCGCCATCAGGTAAACGGTGAAAAATACATGCCTTCTCCTTGGGGTCGACTTTGTTGTTGTGTCCAACTACAAACAGCGGGCAATTCCTTCAGGGAGAAGAATGACCATTAGATCTTGGTGCTATTTATAAACAGGAAAAAATAAGGCATCCCTGGTGTGGATTTCTACTTCCAAATTGAGTGTAAGATGAATAATCCCGGGGGAGTCTCCCCGTGGCTTTGGTCCAAAAGCAGGTCTTTGCACGTGCTCTCGCTATCTTTCCCAGCAGGATTAATGTACTTAAGTGCTTCTCGAGTTCGCACAGTGTCAAGGGGGAGCACGTCTCTTCAGTCCCGGCCCTTATCGCCAACGTCAAACTCCATGTGACCCCTTTTCCCTCACTGGTCTAGTTGCCCTGCTCCATCCTCTCTTACTGATTTGTGCAGCCGCCGTAGGAGCGTGTGCTCCAGCTGCCACACAGCCACCGGCTCTGACTACTATGTTGTAATGCAGGCCGACACAGAGGCCCCCCACCTGAATGCTAAAAACAGAACATGTGTATCTGTGTGTTTAGGTGGAATTCAGACCTGACAGAGTAGATTACTATCTGAAGCCCAGCAGGGTCCACATCACTCTAATGCGTGCTGCATGCCTCAACTTTAAGCAAACACACACACACCAACATGTTTAATGAGGGCTGAGGTCCCAGCATGCTGCTGTGCTGGCAGTGCAGTATCTCCTACTGAGGCTCACACGCTCAGCGTGGCACCTCGGTGTTGTCCACACGCGTTTGCTGTCCTCGTAACCTCAGTGAAAAGTACACAACCTCCTTTCCTCCGCTACACCTCATCCGTGTGTGTCCACCCGGTCGGGTTGCTCGCCCCTCAGACGGCATTAGTCGTTGACAACATGCATTCCCTGAAAGGATGTGACGCGCTAACCTCTGTAATTTGCCCCTTCCTTTTCCGTAGGGCCCGTATCCATGGACAAAGTGCATTACTGCGAGAGATTCATTGAACTCGTGATTGATTTGGAGGTAGGTCACATCC